TCCCCCCCCTCCCCCCCTCCAGGGGGCCAGCTCAGGCTCCCCCCCACTCCCCCCCCAGTCCCCATGGCTCCCCAGCCTCTCCAAATAAAACCATTTCAATCCCAGAGGGTTTCCTGCCTCTTGTTGTGCTTCCCTGGTGCCACGACACACGTCCAGTGCCTCAGGGGGTGTCTGGGTGCTGCTGGGTCCTGCACACAGACCCCTCAGCCCCTTGGCCAAGGTGGACATTTTCTCTGAATGGGCATGGCAACACCTCACTCCCCTCCCCAGCGTGGCTTCCCTCACCACAGGAGGCTTTTCTCCCCCAAATCCAGCCCTCCCTGGCACCAGAGAGAAGCCAAATGAATGCAGGCAGTGGGGCAGCCACCCCATCTCCTCCACACCGGAGGGCAATGCCACCATCCTCTCAGCCTTCCACCACCTCCTCATCACCATCTCACCTCCAGCACACACTCAGGCTGGGCCCAGGGGTTCACCCAGTGCCTGGGGAGAGCTGAGGAACACGGTGGCACAGCCACAGGTACTCTCAGAGGGAATATAATGGCTTTGTGCACAGACCATATCAAAGTAGCTCACAGCAGACACCCCATGGAAAGAGGCTGTGCTGGACAGGTGAGAGCAGGTCACCTGCAAGAGGTATATTTGTGTCACTAGCTTTTTCCTGCAGACATGAGGAAGATATTCTCATGGAAAAAGCAAGCAGCATGCTGCTAATTAAGAATGTGGCCATGAAAATGAGTCTGAAACAGAAAGATGCTGGTAGTCACCCTCAGTCGTTTCTGTGATGTGCAACTCAGCCCCTGGGGATTTCTATAAATGTTTACAAACCTTCACAGGCAGACTTCATCTGTCTGATCACAAGCTTGACTCAATCTCAGGGGAAAACTCAGAGCAGGCAACACTCATTCTCAGTGTAACTACCAGTCACAAGGCAAGCTTTCAAATTTTCTGGGTCTGTTGAGCTGTTTCTGTAGCAAACTTCACCTGTAGCCCAATTTTGGCAACAAACCCGAAAGAGCAGTGTTCCAATTTCCCACTTTTGGTCTTTGAGTGCTCTCACACACACAACAACAGCTGCTCAGGACCTGTCTTTTCCAGGCACATTGGCCCCCTCCCTCCCCAACCACAAGAGACTGCTTTGTGGCTGCAGCTGTCAAAAAAAGGGAGGTACTTGCAGGTTCACAGTTGCCCCTTTTTGGTGCAATCTTTTGGAGGAGGGGGTATGACTCACTGGAAATCTCACTGTCCTAAGACTTGGGGTTTAAGGCTGTTTAAGGCTTCATCTTTGTATTCATAGCTGATCTGCAAACTTCACCTCCATCTGTCTTGGTTTTCTAATTAGGAGAAAAATAGACATGTCAGAGAAGATGTAAAAGCAAGGAAGCAGGACCTATGATTCTGCTGTTTCTCAACCACCTGTTCCACCTGTGATTGGAGAAACCTTCTACTAAAGCTTTTGCAAAACCTGTTGGTATTTCAAAAGGCACTTTGTCCTCACTGAATGCATTTCCAATGACCAAAAGGTTTTGTTGGAAAACTCTCAACCTGCTCAGCTATCAAGTGTTGCTTGTGGAGAATGGAAGAGATGCAAGAGGGAAAAAACACCCTGCTCAAAACACACTCAGACTCCATTCAGGTGCTTTTCCACTCCTGAAACTTCAAGGACTCAGCCAGTTTTGCTTGTAGGAGATAAAATTTCTTTTATTATGAACATAAAAATGACTATTTTCATTCTACATTTTTCCCCTCCCCAGCGAGGGACTTTCTCATTATGAAAAATGCTTAATCCAAGTAAAAAAACAGGAAGATAGAAATTTCTATGTATACATACATACACAATATCTCTGTACATCTGTTATTCTGTACAACCAAGGCACCAGCAGGAGTGGCAAGGGCACGTGCAAGACTCTCTCACTAGAGATGTCGTTCCAGATTGTTTGGCAGGAACACCTCTGTTCTCACTGAAACAATGACTCCTTTTTCTCTTCCCCCTCCCTGGGTGACAGGGGAAGAGGGAGGCCTGGGAGGATGCCTTAGCTAAACAGAGGTGAACATGTACACGTGTAACTGATCTCCCTGGCAACTGCAACAGGCTTCTTGAATTCAGCTGCTACTCCAGAAAACCACAACCTGCCTGGCAGTCTGTAGCAGGCACTCTTTGCTGCCTCTCCCAGCACCACATTCTCATCCAGTAGAGATGCCTGGGAGACTGGGCTAAACCACAGGAGTCTTTTGTCCAAGAAATTGAACCCATATTTTGCCTAAGTAAAGGCTGAAGGAATATGAAAGCAAAGCACTCCAGAGGCAGCTAGCACTTAGAGCACACCCATCAAAAAGTCTTTTGCTCTTGGGAAATAAAGGTGAAAAAAAAACCCCAGTCATTTCTGTGGATAAAAGCCCATATTTGAGAATGGACAAAATGAAATATCGTGTGATCAATAGCACAGCCCTGTGGACTGCAATCAATACAGCTTTATTTCATAGCCCAAGTTCCTCAGCACAGCATCTTTCCAAACAGCTGGGGAAGGCTGAACTCTCAGAGGAGCTGTGCTGTGTTGAAACTTAACAATAGAACTGAAAAATAGCCTGAAGCAGCTGTTAAATCTTGCCATTCACGCTGCTAGACAATAATCTCAAAACAGAGCAGGGTAAACGCTGTGCTTTTAAGTCAGAAGTGCAGCTGCAGTCAGAAAAGTGAGACTAAAATCCCATCTCAGCTCTGTATTTACACTTTGCTCTCCCACCAACACATCAGAGGCCTTTAGTTTAGGAAAGAAAAGTCTGTTTGTTTTTACCTGCCACGAATCCAAACAAAGAAACCTCTCTGGGATTTCTCTGTCTCTGTTAATACATGCTCCTTAGATTATAAAGCCAGGCAGGGCTGATTGCAGAATCTCTTTTCCAGCCTGCCGGGCAGCCACAAACCAATTATGCCTTTGGATTCTGCAGAGCCTGCAGGGAAGCAGCAAGAACCTTCGTGTCCCACAGCTCTCCAGAGAGTAAATCCTGCCAACAGTGAGACCAAACCAAAGTAAACGAGCCAGCTCCCCTCTGCAGCCTGGTGGCCTTCCTCACTTGTGAGGCATTTGACCATTCCAAGTCAGCAGGAGAGTGGAGAGGAACGAGGGAGGGTTGCAAACCAGGATGAGAGTCAGTCACTAGGCAGGGAGAGATTGTTCTTCTGCTTCTGGCACTGGGCCTCTCCTGTCTTGCTCCATGCCTCTCACCTACAGCAGTGGGGGTGAACCCCCCAGGTTTCTTTTCCTCTGAGCAGGCAGCTGGCTCCCCCTCACTTCTTCCTGCGGATCTTGGGCTTCTTCACGGGCCGCAGGTAGGGATTGTCTATCATATTCTCCTCCCCATTCCGACTGCCTGCCAGGGAGCTGTTCTGCTGTAACACTGAAGCATTCTCCTTTTCAGGTCCTGAATCATCCTGCCACGTTCAAAAACAAAAACCCAACATAAGCATCAACAACCAAGGTTCTAAACAAGGCTTAGAAGTTCAAACCACGTAACCTACGGGCAAAACGGATCATCCACAGCCAAGATAAACAGCAGCACACCAGAAGCTGCATTAAAAGTGAGGATTTCTGATTTCTAACAGAAGATCTCCTTCAGGAACAGTGTGGGATCCCAGCACAACCCTCCCTCCCCTAACACTGCAGCAAAAGTTGTCCTGAAAGGTCATGATCCAACCCCATTTTGCTTTGCACCCTGCAGAGAGTTAAAAGAACCACGACAACATTTAGTCCTTTACCCCAGCTAAAACACAACCCACTCTGCCCTTTTCCACCCACTCTGCCCAGCTGCAAGGAAAATGGGCAAAGAACCAGGTTTCAGAAGTTTAACAAAGCTGGGCCCAAGAGACCTTGATCTCTCAGGCTGAGCATACCGTGCTCATGTGCAGGGGGAGGTTCTCAGTGTCTGTCTGGTCGTCTTGCTCAGATGAATCTGTTTCTTCCATTTGCTGCATTTCCAGCTCTGAGGGGAGCAGAGCTGTCAGGTAGGGCACAGTGAAAGGCCTGGCAGCAATCACTAAGGTGAGGGAAAAGGACACAGTCAGCAAGCTGGAAGGAGACTCCTCAACTCAGAGATTAGGAAGCACAAAGCCAACCAGTTCCTTTCCAAACACTCTCACTGGTTCTGAACACATAGACTCTTTTCCTCCTCCTCCCAAGGATCACGAATGAAATATGCTGTCCCTAAAAGATGGCAGTCTCCAATTTCCTGTTTTCTGAGACCTCTTTATGGTTCCAGCCAAGGACACAACATTACTAACACAAAAAAATCCTTCCTGACCTCCATAAAAATTCAATTATCTCTCAGGATGAAGCATCACTTAGTCTCCCTGAAGACAACACTGACATCTGTGCTGCCAGTGAGCCTTGGGAAGGTGGGAATTCTCATCACTGCTCTGCAGACAGAGAAATGGGAAAACCTCCAGTGCCTACCATAAACATGTAAGAAAAAAACCCACTTGTTCAAAAGTGGGGTAGAGACAGGACTGGGATGAGCTTTGAATTTAGGACCTATCAGCCAAGGCTTTCTAGACCAGCAGAAGAAAGTGAGTCTTTTGTGAGGATGGAAGCCTACCACTTGGTTTTTCATCCCCATGTTAAAGAGAAAATCTCATTTCCCAGCTCTCCAGCCCCTCAGAAGGGCACACACAACGTGATTACTCAATGCTCCTGCAGCAGCAAGAACTCTTAACAGTGACTACTCGGCTAGATAGCTGCCATTTACAGCACAAAGCATCCAAATGACTCACGTGGGAAGGTGCTAACATCGTCTTTGAAGAGGCTCTGTGTTTCTCCAGTCTTAGCCATGAACCGTGTGAGAGCTCTCTCCACATCACGCCGCTGGGATGCCGCCTTCTCCCGCAGCACCTGGTAGTCAGAGACAGGCTCCCGGTAGGTCTGTGGAGCAAGGAGAGCAACAGAACAGGGTCAGGGGCTGCCAGGTAGGCAGCTGAAGCTCAAAACCCTTCCAGGATGCTGAGGCTACAGGTGAGCACTGAGCTTCAACATGCACAGATTTTCAGGGAGCTACAGAGGGCAATCAGCCAAAAATCCACAGCAAGGGCAACCCACAACCAAGCAGTGCTGTGTTATTAGTACAGTAAAAACACCCAGACACCACTCCTAGTTGTCAGTGACTTCCAAATGGCATAAAAATCATCTTTTTTCACTCACTGGTGTCTTGATGTAAGTGTGAGGATCTGGAAACTCAGGGAAATGGCCAGGAATGTGGGGTGGATGTGGCTTGTTCTGCCCAGCTGTCAGGGCCTTGGGAGTCACCGGCTGGTTCGTCACAGGAGCTACAGTTAAAAACACACACACACAGAGATCAGCCACCTTCATCCTGCCAGGAGTCAGGCAGGCAAGCTGTGTCCCTGAGCTGTGCCTCCAGGTCCTACAAAGGGCACAGAGCACATCCCACAAGCAGCAATTTCAGATTTTGGCACTCCAAAAGGGAACAAAGATTTCTTGGCCCCCCTCTGCTACACAAGGAGAACAAAGACATCTCGAGGGTTCTCATGTGCAATGAGGATGCTGAGGGTATCTTCCTTCACCTATTACACAGTCATTACAGGAGTCCTCAAACTGCACTTCAGGAGCACTGGACTCCATCAGAAAAGCAGCTTTCTGGGGGCCAGCAGAGAGAAACACCAAATGATTTCCAGTTTCCTGCATAAGAAGAGGGTTCCCCACGTACGGGCAGTGATGACCATCCTCTGGGAGCGCTTGGCATAGGCAGGAAGTGTTTCAACATTGAACCCTGAAAGACAAGAGAGGAAACAAATCACACCGAGTCTATCCTGTCAAAAACCTTTCTTAGGCTTCTCTAGAATTTTTCAAAGGGCTCTGAGTTACATGGGAAAGAAAAATCACTCTCTCTGTGTATATGCAGGCTGCAATCTGAGCAGAGGTATCCACGAGCCTGTGTGAGGTCCAGAACAGAGAGCATCACATCATACAAACCCCAGAAACATTGGGGACAGAGCTTCCTACCAATGCAGCACACCTATACCACCTGCAATGCAGGGGGCTGGAGTTTGTGGGACCAGTCAACTACTCACCCATTTCCACCAGAGTAACCACGATATCAGAGAGCGTAGGCTGCGTTCGGGCTGTGTGTTCACAGTAGGACTTTGCACTCCTTCCAATCTCAGAAATATCTGAGGGGATAAAAAAACCACCAGCACTTAGTCCAGACAGCGAGCACACATTTGTACCAGCCCAATCCTAGCTTCAGAGACCTGAGCTTTTAGCAAATTTAGCAAGGAATAAAAAATAGGTCCCACAATCCAGTTTCTTATAGCCTGTGTATTTAAAATTAAAGCATGGAGACACTAGAGATCAAAGAGTCAGATGTTTCACACAAATGCAAAAGGCACATCTGCATCACAAGCATGAAAAAAAAACACAAAACTTGATCAACTCTTGATTTCACAAAAATGTGTGACTGGGGATCACCCAGGAGAGGAGAAGCAGAGCTGCCAAACACAGGCACCTGTACAGCCTTAACTAACCAAATGGCTGGAACTTCCTTAATTCTCTGTTTATGCTGGCAGCACCTCAATGTGTGGAGCTTATTTGGCTACTTAATGAGTATCTAATGAGTACGATAGGTAAGTACTTCTGAGGTTGGACAAAGATCTCACACTCCCAGGACTCTGTTCTCTAGCCTTCCATTTCTTGCTAACAACATTAACTCAAGATAATAAAAAATGGAGGGGAAAAAAAACAACAAAAAAAAAATGGAAGAGGGAAGGTCAATTTGAAAAAAGATAAAGAGATTTGAGGGGATCAGCGTGGCTCTTCTGGGCCCTCCCAAAGCTGGACACTCACAGCTCTGTAGCATCTCCGTCAGCGTCTCCACCGCGGCCTTTTCGGCGCTCTCGAAGCCAGCTTCAGTGAGCAGGGAGCTGACCACCACCTGCAGAGTCCTCCTCCGAGCCAGGTAGTAGTTATCTGCAGGCGTGGTTGCATGCTTGCTGCCCGACCTCTGCAGACACAGACACACCCCCCATCCCAAAATTAGAATTAAGCCACCTCCAGAGCGCCAGGAGCAGGGCCAGGGAAGGGCCAGGGCACTGATCCTGCTCCAGGCACTGATCCTGCTCCAGGCACTGCCCTGGGATAGGGGCTGTGATCCACAGGAGGGGTGCAGGCAGAACTGCCTGGGTGCTACCTGCACTCAAAGGACCTGCACTCAAAGGACAGGGGCCAGCCCTGCCTGTCCCCCCAGATGTGTGTACATGTACACACACACACAGACACATATTCTACACACACACGTGTACATCAGTGTGCATGCAGACACACAGACCATCGAGTCA